GCATGAGACTTCCATGGATTGTAGCACAGAACAAAGTAGAACAAAGAGTGTGAATTGATAATATTGGTTAAATTGATTTGTTTTTATGGGAATGTGGATCTTTCAGACCAATTGATTAGCACTTTTGCTAATATTTCACATTTTATTGTCATGTGGCGGGCTGGTCTTGGTCTCTGCTTAGATGGTCTTGACTATAAACTATGTAAAGCTATTTAAAGGGCCGTTCATTTAACTAAAAAGAAATGTCATAATACTAATGGTCAGATATTGACTTAGCAAGTTAATAGAAACGGTTCAGTTTAAATATTTAGTACTTTACTGTAAGTTACAGTGTGGGACCATTATTGATAAGCGCCATCATATTCTGTGTCCATAAGAATAGCAAAGTATGATGTAAACCTGCAACAGCGCCCCTACAGTCACAATGTGCAGTGGTCACAGAATATGGTGTAACGTCCCTGTTGGCGAGAAGCGAATCTTGAAGGGGAGTTAACGTCAGCTAGCCAGACTGCATATTTCCAAATGTTGAACATTTGACGGCATTAAGTTTAATTGCTGGTAAAATTATTAACCACATGCAGACATTGTTTATTCTAAATAAGGTAAATAACTATCTCTCTGAAAGACGATGGAAGAGATTTCATTTTGTAATGTTTTGCTGATGGATATATATATATATATTTTCCTCTCCTGGGGGTTTCTGTGGGCTCTAGTGTCCCTTATAAGAAAGAAGGCTGACAGGAATGTAGTAAGGAAAGACATGCGGCAAATAAAGTCGGATCCGGGAATCAAACCCAGAACGGCCGTGTGGAGGACTGAAGGCCTCCAATCGTGGGTTGCGCTACCACAGCACGCCCCCTGATGAAGAATATTTTCATTTTAGTTTTTGTTAAAGTGAAGAATTTATTGTGTGACCTCATATTTTGACTTTTTGTCCAGATCTCCCAGAATGCAGTGTGTGCAAAGAGGAGGAGGATCTAAATGAGCTCAGAAACCCGGAGAGAAACTTCACTTCAGATCAAGATCATCCAGAACCTCTGCAGATAAAAACTGGAACAAGAGGAACCAGAACCTCTGCAGATGAAACGGGATCAAGAGGAACCAGAACCTCTGCAGATGAAACTGGAACAAGAGGAACCAGAACCTCTGCAGATGAAACTGGATCAAGAGGAACCAGAACCTCTGCAGATGAAACGGGAACAAGAGGAACCAGAACCTCTGCAGATAAAACTGGAACAAGAGGAACCAGAACCTCTGCAGATGAAACGAGAACAAGAGGAACCAGAACCTCTGCGATCAAAGAGGAAGAGGAGCAACTTTCCATCAGTCAGGATGAAGAGCATCTTGTGATGAAAACAGGAAACTGATGACATTTTGAACAAACAGCAGAAAAACTCAACAGGGGACTTCGGAACAAGAAACGCACATGAAAGCTCAACCAGACCAAAATCTGTATTCTTGTAAACTTTGTGATGAAACCTTTTCTCAAAATAATTCCTTGATGAATCACATGAAAAGTCACACGGCTAAGAAACCTTTCAAATGTTCCACCTGTGGAAAACGTTACCCTTACAAGAGTCGTTTAAATGATCACATGAGAATTCATACAGGTGAAAAACCTTTCACCTGTGAGACTTGTGGAAAAAGTTTCCAGAGGAAATCTCGGTTAGTTAATCACATCAGAATTCACACGGGTGAGAAACCTTTCTCATGTGAGACCTGTGGGAAAGTTTCCGGAGTAAACATAAATTAGTTAATCACATCAGAATTCACACGGGTGAGAAACCTTTCTCATGTGAGACCTGTGGGAAAAGTTTCCGGAGTAAACATAAATTAGTTAATCACATCAGAATTCACACGGGTGAGAAACCTTTCTCATGTGAGACCTGTGGAAAAAGTTTCACTCAAATGCAAAGTTTAACTGTTCACATGAGATCTCACACAGGTGAGAAACCTTTCTCATGTGGGATTTGTGGAAAAAGTTTCACTAAAAAACACAACTTAACTTCTCACATCAGAATTCACACTGGTGAGAAGCCATTCTCATGTGAGTCCTGTGGAAAATGTTTCCCTCATAAAAAAAGTTTAACTGTTCACATGAGATCTCACACAGGTGAGAAACCTTTCTCATGTGGGATTTGTGGAAAAAGTTTCACTCAAAAACAGCACTTAACTTCTCACAACAGAATTCACACTGGTGAGAAGCCATTCTCATGTGTGATCTGTGGAAAACGTTTCACTCACAAACACAACTTAACTTCTCACAACAGAATTCACACTGGTGAGAAGTAGCTTGCATTGATTTATCAGCTGGCTGATTAATAAATGTTGATTTTCTAAATTTTGGGACATTGGTGAGCAGCAGATACATGCATGTGAAGCTGATCTGATTCCTCGATGTTATTGACCTCAGCCACTGTTCTGTTCTCCGCTTTGAGGTTTGACTATTAGACCAGCTCACCATGTCATGTCTGCACCCTTAGTGAAAAGTGAGGAAAATGTTTTGTGTATAGATCCAGTTTAAGTCATCACATGAAGATTCACACGGGTTGGAAGCTTTTATTTTGTAGATTCAGTAGAAAAAGGTTCACTCTAAATAAATGTAACTGTTCAAATGAGAACTCGCACAGGTTTGATGGCACAATGTGAACCTCAAGATTCTCAGTAAGTTGCTGTTTGGAAGTGGAGTAATTGCAACCGACTTAAATTCTTAAATGTAGCAGGTTTTGCTTACAAAGCATTTTAATCTGGATATTTAGCTGGAAAAATTTATTCTTCCAGTTTTATATTTCCATTTTATTGAATGAGACTGAGGGAGAGATTGTCTAACAAACAATGAGTTTGAATGCTTTGAGATTTAGATTTCTGAAATTTTGGAGTCTTTATTGTGTTTTTATCCTTTGTACATATTTTTATTTTAATGATTTGGAGAAATGGATGCATTTCTTTGACATGGTTTTAAATAAATTTTCTGCTTACAAAATGATTTGACGATGTGGATTGAATTTCAGATAAAAAAAATCATTGAAACTTTTTCTATAATTTTAGATGATAAAGTATCATAATGATGGTCTTTTTCTATTTTTCTGTTTAGTCAAAGACTGTGACAGAATCGATTTACATAAACATAGAGACTGAAATAAAACCTGTTTGAAACAAATAGTAAATCAGGAAAACCTTCATATATAAACAGTTAACTTCTCACATGTCATTAATTTGATTTCAGCACCTCTGAGATCTAGAATTATAAGGCTGAGATATCAAGGTAAACAAAGAGAACCCAGTAGCTGCTGGTAGGGGCCCTCCAGACATTATTACAAAATATAAATAGAAACTGGTTTTATAACTTCAACATCAGACCTACGTTTTTATTCACAAGTGTACGTTAGAAAAATTAATTATTGCCCAAAAGTTGACCGTTAGAGGTCACAGTTCAGCCCCGCTCTTCCTCGCCACGGACCCGGTGTCTGAACAACGTGGAGGCAGAAGGACTGGGAATCCTCATAATTAGACCAAGGGCAGCCAGACTCATTAGTTTTGCTAGGTGTTATATTTAGAGGCACAAGAAGGCCTCCTGACACAAAAGACTCAAGTTGAAAACAAAAATAAACCCAAAAAGGGCTCTGGGGGCATCAAGGGTAAAAGGGGCAGGGCTCAAGCCCTCTCCAGACCCCCTCTGCATGTGCCTGCATATGAATGCTTGTCTTTCTAAGTTACCATCCAATAAAATATCTGAAAATACAATTTAAACGATGTTAGAAAGTGGCTCTGCAAACTCCCGCATTATTACTTCCTGCACCTCCTGGTTTTAGCTGTAGATTGTTGATCCACTTTTCTCTTTGTTAGGTGAGTTTTTTCTAAATTAACTTCCTTGTGACCGACTACCTTCAAAACACAAAGATAAAGTTTTCTTTCTCTCTATTAGAATGGTTGGAACAACCACACATGGCACAGACTTAAGACATTTTGATGTTTAAGTCAAAATGCCTAAATGTGCTGCATTTACTTTCTGACCCCCACCTCCATGGTAAGGCATCGGTGCTACATCATCTGAAACCCAGCAATTTATGGGAAAAAAGAATAATACACTGCTTTAAAATGTAAAATACTTTATTTCAACTCATACATGTAACATTCCACAATCTAAAAGCTCAACTCCATAACGACATGACACAGAACTGCAAGACACCTCAAATCCACAGAAATTAAACCTTCCTGAAGACATTCCCTCTTTAACTTCAGTATCTAATGGGACACTGATGGGAACCTTAAGTACAAATGTGACTGAGAAATAAAACAAAAAACTGATTTTAGAAAAACAAAGCTGGTAGACAAAAATGGACCTCAAGTCTATCTTAGTACAAGACATTCAGAGCATCGACTTGGCTTTGGATGAATGGATATTTTTGTGCAGAATTGGCATGGATTTAATTTATAAGTAAAGGTAAGATGGGAAAAAAATGTTTTTGTTTAGTTTTTTAATGAAATGTGCATTTTGTGGGCCACAGTCTGTATGTCTAAAGAATTCAGTAAAGTAGAAATGTTAGCTAATCTACCACAGCAATGATTTATTAATAAAACACTAAGACTAAAACAAACTACTGCAAAAAACTCAATGTTCTGTTCTGTGACCAAAATTCTTTATTTTTTATGTTAAATCCTAAAACATGGCATTGTTATCAGTTGCTATTGCAACGAGTCTGCATGTAGCTTGGGTGATGCAGAGTGAGAAAGTGGTTTAGGTTTCTCCCTTTGCTGTGGATCATAACACGAAACAATACCTACATTTCTAAGTTTCACCTGGTTACTACAGCTATGGATGACGTGTAAAAGAACGGTCTTTCTGCCCTCCAGCGTTGTATGCATGAGCAAAATTTCTGAGTAACCAATAACATACATGGTGTCTGTATTTATACATCGTAAAGCCTCACCGCACGTCACTGTTTTGCATCCATATGAATCTTTATGTGTTTAAGTAATTGTTGTTTCATCCTGAAACTCTTTCCACAGGTCCCACATGAGAAAGGCTTCTCACCTGTATGAATTCTCATATGCCGAGTTAAAGTCCCTCTGACACTGAAACTCTTTCCACAGGTCTCACACCAGAAAGGCTTCTCACCTGTGTGACTTCTCATATGCCGAGTTAAAGTAACTCTGTCACTGAAACTCTTTCCACAGGTTGAACAAATGAAAGGCTTCTCACCTGTGTGAATTCTCATATGCCTAGTTAAAGTCGTTTTTTGTCTGTAACTCTTTCCACAAGTCCCACATGAGAAAGGCTTCTCACCTGTATGAATTCTCATATGCGCAGTTAAATTCGCTTTTACACTGAAACTCTTTCCACAGGTTGAACAAGTGAAAGGCTTCTCACCTGTGTGAATTCTCATATGCCTAGTTAAAGTCATTTTTTGTCTGTAACTCTTTCCACAAGTCCCACATGAGAAAGGATTTTCACCTGTGTGAATTATCATATGCTGAGTTAAAGCCGTTTTTACATTGAAACTCTTTCCACAGGTCCCACAAGTGAAAGGCTTCTCACCTGTGTGAATTCTCATATGCTCAGTTAAAGCCACTTTTTGTCTGTAACTCTTTCCACAAGTCCCACATGAGAAAGGCTTCTCACCTGTGTGAATTCTCATATGTTTAGTTAAAGTCCCTCTTTCATTGAAACTCTTTCCACAGGTTGAACAAGTGAAAGGTTTTACTCCTGTGTGAATTCTCATGTGTGTCTTCAAGTTACTGTTTCCAGAAAAGGTTTTATCACAAATTTACAAGAATGTATTTTTTGCCCTTTGTGAGTTTTCTTCTGCGGTTTTTGTTTTTCAGCATCAGTTCTGTCTTTCTGCTGTTTGGTTTTCTCATATCTCTCCTTTGGTTTCTGTTCTTCCTTTCTCTTTTTTCCTGGGTCTTCAGAATTGCTTCCTTCCTGATTCTGGTTCTCAGTTTCTGCAGAGCCATGAGAGATGAGTTGGTTCCTCTGTGGTTTTGTGTCATTGAGAATCTCCTCTTCTTCACACACACAACATTGTGGAAGATCTGGGAAATAGACAAAAAAAAAAAAGTTTTTTAAATGTCAATCAAACAAGAAATCCACTTTGATGCCTTCATGTATCGAAACAGGATTTCTTAGGTTATTCTAAAATTACAATCTTACAAGAATGAACATTAACTCAACTAAGAAGTTAATGTTCTATGTTCTAGAACACTGGATGTTCTAGAATGGAACTATGACCAGAACTAGTTTCATTCTGGTCATAGCTCCATTCTAATGACCAGACTGGAACTAGACTTGAGTCAAAATATGATATAAAGGATCTCCAGGTGAGCAAATAAGATGGCAATAGCTTAATCTAGTAGCTTCCTGACAAATATTACATAAAATCTTCTTCCTCCATGTAGAGAGAGGAAGAAGACGCCTACATGGAGGAGGAGTCAGATGTTCAGGTCACCTGACTTTTGGACGTGTACCCTGACCACACACACGGTGTCGCAATCCGACTGGGAGATTGTGGACCAACGCTGGTGGTGATGCGGGCTGTGTGCCTGTAATGGGCGCAGGGGAAGTGCACCCATTATATGTCACCAGATATATATCACATTAAAGAGTGACATAAAATGCCTAAAGGGAAACCATAAAGTAATTTTTAATCTCACCCGCTGATATTGTCAGACATTGCTCCGCTCACACACTCAACACAAACGTTCAAAAGCACAACTAAATCTCAGCCTTTACTTTCCTGGGATTCACAGCAGAATTGGTAGCAGTGGGTGATTGTTGTTAATCGCACACATGCAGAAAATAATGGCAAAATGAACCAATGGAAAATATTTAGACTTAGAGAGTCTTAGACTTAGACTTGACTTTATTGATCCCTTGGGAAGACTCCCTCAGGAAATTATAGTTACCAGCATGAATATTGGACAATTTGGAAGATTAAATATGAAAGGTGAAAATGTACAATGATAAAATTATTTAACGAGTTTATTTAAGACACAAGTTAGTTAATAAGTCATTTACTAAGTTTACATTATGAAAATGGAAATTTAGCAGCCAGACAAGACAGTTACTAAATATGCTTTTGATTGTTGTGATCATTATTATCACCTGGTTGCAGTTCCTCTCAGGTCACCATAAAATAATTCCCCAATGAAAGTGGAGGGCGGGGCTTTGGGCGGGTCTAACACTGACCTTCTTTAACTTAAATTTGAGCCGTTATTCTGTCAGAATAGCTGACATGCATTGAGTACAAATGAGCATTAAGAGGCGCTGTCAGCTCAGCATATGTGACAAGATAAAAGAGAAAGTCAATAAATATTTTCTAGTGATAACTGGATGGATAGTAGCGTTGCTGTAAACAAATATTTCAGTAACTGAGTAATCTATTAATTATTCTTATGATTAATCAAGTAATCGGATTAAAAACGTATATAAAATAAAATATTGGTAAATCTGCTATAACACCAGTGTTACTATCAGATATCAATATCAATCCAGTTTTTCATATTGGAGCATCCCTAACAGTCATTTCTTTGTAGTTTAGAAAACTGACCTGTAACAATAACATCAAATAACATAACATTGGAAGATGCACATTCTAGGCTAAACAATCACAGAGAAGTTTGATAGGTGAATTAAAAAACTGTGTCGGCGATATTCAGGGTGCACAGTGGGTCAGGAGAGGAACCGCAGACCCGTCAGAACCTAAAGAACCAGACATCAGTCTCTTCATCCCTCAGTGATAGAGACTGAGAAATAATATGAATGGCAATTTACAGAACAAATCATACAAATAGGTTAATAAATATTGCGAAGAGAAACCGACTCAGAGACAGTGCAATAATATTAGCCTGCATGATCTTTTCCTCTCAGGTTAGGGCTCTGCTTTGCTGCACAAGCATCAGCCTTTTCCCTGAAATAAGCTTCTAGCTATTTTTATTACTTATTAGCCATGTTTAGGACCCTGAATGCAGGAAGTCAATGTAAGACCACATTGTAATGATGCCCCACATGCTACTAGCAGCATTTAGGCTAACATTAGCATTTTGGCTCATTTTAGATTATACACTAATTTTAACAAACTGAATGGAGGAAGTCCATGTTAGTCAACATGCTTGTGACTTTCCACAGGTTATTGACTATAATTCAGTTTAGCTGAGCATTGATGCTAATTGTTAGCATCAGAGCGCTGGGTCCAAACTGGGGCCACACTTTAGCAGGCCCGGTTACATTTCTCCAGGGATTTTCTATTTTTACTTAATTTAAGCAGATTCTTTAAATATGTCTACGAACAGAACGATTATTTATCTGTAAAAACTCTCTTTAACCTGATTAATCAGTAAACCGTGAAGATGTTTCGTACCTATCCGGTGCAAGATGATCTTGGGTATCCGGGTAAAATCCATCAGTCTGCGCTGATCGTCCATCTCTTCCTCCATCTTAACGTTGATTTCTTTCCACTCTGTGAATGTTTCTTCAGCAGGAGTTTCTTGCTGCTTGATAAACTCTCTGAGGCTGAACTGAAGACATTTTCACTGAAAACACGGAAAAAATTAGCTAAACCTCAAACTCTTCTCCAAACGACCGTCTAACAAAGGAAAAGCTAAAGCGAGCCCGCGTGCTCTGTTTTCATCTTCCCCGCCTTCTTCTTCTTCTTCTTCTTCTTCTTCTTCTTCTTCTTTTTTTCATGGCGGTTGGCAAGAAACTTATTGATGTGAATTACCGCCATCTACTGGAATGGAGTGTGAAACGGGATGCTACATAAATATTCTCCCGCACCCAAATTATTATTATTATATTATTATTATTATTATTATTATTATTATAAATAAAATATTCTTTCTACCAATTTCGTTTTCTTAAGGTGATTTATTAAATAAAAAATATATTCAGAAATGTTCCCCGTGTTTCACTGGAACTGTACTGAAGAAACTGTGAACGATTCAAAGTTCCGCTTTAATATACCACATTTTCTTTCATATTTTAATTTATTGAGCATGATTAGATCTGTTTAATTAGAACAAAGCACGTACAGTTATTATATCGACACAGGAGGTTTTAGTTTGTAGGTTCTGATTCATTTTTAAAGTTAAACAGTATGAAGCCACATGTGGTTTAGAGTAATGTATTCAACTTGAACATTTGAAATAAAATTAAAAAAAACGTCTCACAATAGATAACTGACTTCAAACACACATTTATGAAATACAATTTTTTTGTTGTTGGTCTGATTCCATGTTATTGAACATGACTGTTTAAACATACTCCTGCATATGAAATCCATGGAAATGAATTCAGTCGCACAGACCGTAGAAAAATAGCTCTTTGAAGGTGTAGTACCAGGTTCTTGTCAGTAGGTGGCAGCATAAAGGGGCTTCTGTGTCACATTTCTGATTTAAAATGTTTTTATTATACATTGAAAGTTTAATATAAACATTTTACATATATTTTAAAAAAAACGTTAGTAAATGCGTTTAAAAAAACATAAAACTTAATAATTAATTAAAATTACTTGAAAAAAATTATACTGTGTTTCACTCGGATCAACTGAGGAACTGAATGAATAGTAATGGAAAAAAGGAAATGAATCAGAAAGAATTTACTCTAATTTGCTATCACTCTTAGTTACCAAGGTAATCAATCAGTTATTGTCATCATCAGTGTTTTTCCAGACTGATCTGAGCTGATCGTTCATCTCTTCCTCCATCTTAACGTTGATTCATTTCCACTCTGTGGATGTTTCTTCAGCAGGAGTTCTGACTAAACCACAGGTGTGAAACTCCAGTCCTCAAGGTGACCTGCAGTGTTTAGATGACCCACAGGTACAAAACACTGCAATGAAATCACCATAATTACCTCCTCCTTGTGTGGATCAGATCTGCAGAGCCTTAATGACCTAATTACTCTATTCAGGTGGTGCAGCAGAGGCTCAGCTAAAGGTTTCAGGGCATCAGCCCTCCAGGACTTTAAAAGAAGAGACTCAGCAGAAAATTTAAAGCCAAACTAATAATCACTTCCAGTTTCTTCAGCACAGCAACAGTAAAACACGTAAAAAATAAAAACAGAGCAAATATCTGGTTTTACTTTTCCTCTTAAAGACTGTTTTGCAGTTTAGTTAAATGTTTCTGTGTTTTCAGTAAAAATGTCTTCAGTTCAGCCTCAGAGAGTTTATCAAGCAGCAGGAAACTCCTGCTGAAGAAACATTCACAGAGTGGAAAGAAATCAACGTTAAGATGGAGGAAGAGATGGACGATCAGCGCAGACTGATGGATTTTTACCCGGATACCCAAGATCATCTTGCAGCGGATAGGTACGAAACAGCTACAGTAGCTGTCATTATTTTAATTGATATTAATTTAATTGGTGAATCAATAAAACCAGAGCACACAGAGCATGCTCATTGCTCTGTGATAGTTCTGTGCTGCCTGGCTTCATGCAGCAGGAGAAAAAGTGAGAACTGTCACAGTGTTTGGTTATTTCTGCTTGTTGCTCCTTGGTCTGTGTTCATGATGGAGCGTTGTTTACCACTAGTGCATTGCCTT